AAATCAATGATTTTAAACTTTTGTCGTCAATAATATCAAAATAGCCGTTAAGTCAGAGTCGAATTATTACACAAAATAATTTTTGAATTGTACAGTACAAGTATAAATAATATAAATACTTTTATATTATTTTCTATCACTATAATTTAATTCTTAATTACGAACTTCTAAGAACTTCTGATCTAAGAAGTGAATTTCCGTTTATTAAGAAAACCAAAAGCGATCACATCGTAAAATGTGAAAAATGTAATGGTGAATTTTCTATTTTGCACGGCGGGAAGAATGATATTTCAAAGCATTTGGAGACACAGAAACATATTGGCAGAAAGACTTATGTCTTATCATGTTAGTAATCACAATCATAGCTTCGGGTCAATGGATAGTTCATCGCAAATTATCAAAATATTATTCAACAAAAAATTTGCCTGTGCTAGAACAAAATCCGAGGCAATTGTATGTAATGTGCTTTGCTTATATGCATTGTCAGAATTTAAAAGAAAAAACTAGAAAAAACAAATTTTATTTTCATATATTCAGTCGCATCTAATCATAAGGATAGAAAAATATTTCCAACCGTTATTAGATTTTTTGATTCGGAAACAGAAAATTAGAATTTTAGATTTTGTATTGAATATCATTGCCTGGCAAAGTACACAGCCCTGGTTTGAACACAATCAAGCAACTGTTTTTCAAAATGCTGTAAAATTTATTGAAGATGACAAAATTTCGGTGGTCGAAGTAGCAAAACGAAATTTAAAATTTAAAATATCAGCGTCAAGAGCGGTTAGAAAAAAATTTTCTTTCATTAATCATCCATAACAGTATAAGTCAGTTAGAAAAACAAGGTGTAATAAATTGCGCAGGTTTCGTGAATCACGTCAAAAAATTCTATAGTGAGTAGCAGCTGGCATGATGAGATGGGAAAGCGCGTGAGTTATAACTCGACACTACCGATTTGACGTCATACTGTGAGATGGTACTACGTGACACGTTCAACACGTTGGGAGTTGTAACACTAAAAACTCAAGACTAAGGGCTTTGATTAGTCACCTGAATGACGTCAACCCACCGAATTTAACTTCACACTTGATCTTTATGCATTTACCAACCGAATCATACAGAATAGATAATTTTAATAGTGTGATTATTTTTTTTTTAAATTTAATATAGGCGCACGAAAATTTATACTTTGTTACAGATATTATTCATAAAAAGTTCAAAAAAGGTGATTTTTTGAATTTGTTTATCAATATAAATGTGGGGAAAAAAGTAAAGTTGCATTTGTACTGTAATGTTTTCATATTAAGCTATTTTTTAAAAAATCCTTTTTTATTTTTTGTTAATATAATACTAATGAATAACTATTTCTAGATTCCTTGTATGTGCTGTATACTTGGTTGCGTAGGGAAATATAAAGTGAAGTGATATCCAGTGTCTATATGTAAGATTGCACAGGATTTGATTTGAAAAGCAAACCAATGAATTAGAGAATTTGTAGAAAAAATAACTTATTATTTAGAATGTTTTAAAAATTATGCATTAATTAAAAAGTATGAATTATGTTTAGAAGAAAATATATATTAAATTGTTAACTAATCTACATTTCCAGTTAGCATATTCTATTGTAATCTATATATATAAATGTATGTATGTCTGTCTGTCATTCATGCATTACTACACCATTTATCCGATTGCCATGAAACTTTGGGAACTTGTTTAATACACTCCCGCGAAGGTTTCTGGAACAGTACATTTATCCTACGCAGTGGCGTAGCGTGAGTGTCAGCCACCCGGGGCGGAAGAAAATTTCGCCCCACCTTATTTAGGTATCTGAATTGAAAATACTAAAATTCAGTTTCGTCACAGAATAAGTAATGAAAAATTCCGTACTAGTGTAGCCACCTTTTGAAAATCGCTGACCCGGACGGCAGATGTGGTTTGTTCGAACAGAAGTTCCTGACGCATGCGTATCTCATTTTGCGTTGCGAAGAATAATGTGCAGTGCATGCTGGTTCTAAATCAGTTACAGTTAGCGACTAAAGAGACTTGAGTAGGAGTAACGTAAGTGACCCAGATGACCTAGCTCTATTTCATATTGGAGGTGTATACAGTAGAGCCTCGATTATCCGACTAAATTGGGGACTGGGGTTGGTCGGATAATTGAAAAGTCGGATAACCGAAAAGTATAAAAAATGTATTATTAGTGTAGTATATTATTTTATCCCATGTAATTAGTATATTAGTATATCGCTATTAACCTGCTATGCGTTGAATTTTCGTCGATGTTAAGCCTAACAAAAATTTTTTAAAATAATAATCGTCGCTATTGTATCGTTAAAAATTAGAAAATTAAGCCTCGTTTAAATACTGGCTCCCTTTCATGGTCGATACAGTGTTGCCAGCTAAAACACGTAAAAGTAATATTAAAGTAGCCAAGACATAACCAAATATTGTAGTGCCATATCACTAGCGGACATTTGCAGACTAGGACGGTCGGTTAACCGATATGACGGTTGATCGGGGGTCGGATAATCAAGGCTCTACTGTATACATATATATACGAATAAATCGTACAAGCAACAATAAAAAAGGTCGACAGATTGTGCACGAAATCTCGGACTGTCCGGATGGATGGTAACACTATTCCGTGCTCATTTCAATCGGTCCGAATCGTAGGTGGACGAAAATATGAAATAAAATAGTTCAAATTCTCACAAGATATCATTATTATTTATTGTGAAATTTTGCCGCCCCCTAAAACGTAATTTTGCCGCGCACCTAAAAAGTGCTTCTCGGGACAAGCCGCCCTTGCCACTGATCCTACGATAAATGGCGCGCGGGTATACGAGCATTTCAGCACGGTTAAGACTTGAAACTTGAAATTTTGTACACAGTTAGGGAGAGTACGTCACGAGAACGCACACTAACAAGGGATTTTTCGAGATCCTCCCGCGGGGAGAGAGCATTAAGGCTTAACCAAGAGAACGGTTTCTACTGTACTATTTTAGATGCCATTTTTTTGTTTTTAATTACGTTTAGTCTTCATTGACTACTTAAAGATATTAAATTGATAACATTTCAGACATTTTTATAAATATTTTTTTATATATTTCGATTCTTTAACCAAATGTTCGAACCGTTTTAAATTCGAATTTTTTCTGCTTATTGGTTCGATTATAGAACGATTGCAAACGTTCCAGAAAATTCATCAAATTAAAAGCAGTTCGTTTTATTCTCAGCTGTAGGTGTTATATAACAATTACTATGGTTGTTGAAATATTGAATGTAAATAGGGTTTGCTTGCAAAATCCGCGCGAGCGAAACCGCGGGTAACAGCCAGTACAGTAATACCTCGACTTACGCTACCCCGACTTACGCGAACCCGGAATGACGCGATTTTCAAATCTCGTCGATTCGTCTTTTGTTTGAGCGCCACGCAACTCTCGATTACTCACTCCCCCCACACTATTGTTCGGCTTACATGTTCGGACGTGTCGCGCGGAATCGACGCATAGCTACAATTTATTTTGTGTTATTTATTTCTGCGTTTGTTATATCTACGGAGACTCGAGAGACTCTATGTGGTGATTTCTTGTAACCTTGAACGAATCAAAAGACGAGATAAGATTAACGAGAACATTTATTAGCTTACATACATCCGACTTGGATTTTACACAAATTGCGAAAATACAAGTTTCTTTAAGGTTAAAAATACTGTATTGTCTAATAGAGAACGTAAAAAATAAACTTAATTTGCAATTTACATTTGTTGTTTTTGATTATTTTATTACTTGTAGCCTGGGACGTCCCCTAGTGGGCATTATTTACAAATTGCCATTACCCGTTGAATGGGTTAATAGATATCAAAATATTACCTTATATTACC